AAAAAAAAAAAAAAAAAAAAAAAAAAAAAAAAAAAATTTGAACCTACGGATCAAAATCAAAGAAAAGAAGAAGCACAAAAAAAGCTAAATCAGTGCAAGTGGCAATTGTCGTGCAAAAACTGTCATCAGTACGAAATTTTTACATCTACGAAGCTTACGCTAAGTTGACGCTGAAAGTGAATAAGTTCAATTGAATTTACACAAAAATTCCACATAACAATTCCAATTTCTTCAATTTCTTGCCTTTCCCATGTACACAGCACTTACACTTCCCAACTGTGTACAACACATACAATTTTGTTTTTTTATCGCCGAAATCTAGTATAACAAAGGTCGACTCCAGCCTCATCCAGTGCGCCCCTCTTCTTGCTCTATTCGTACGCTACCTTACTGCTCTTAACACTGATAATAAAAAAACTGCATTTTTCTGGTCTCATAGACGGACAAGGGGAAAGCAATGGGCCTTTCGCTTCTCCACCAAGCGGTACAGGTATTAGTGTTACAAGAGTCTGGGTCTAACGCTAAAACTGAAGAGAACCCACTTCCCCCGTCGCTCCTATCGCTCCTTCCTAGGAGCTCCACTCCCCTCCCCCGCCCTTCCCTCCAATCATTGCCCACCGCAGGTCCATTTCCTCCTCTTCCTCCGCTCGTCGTCGACAGAGGCCCCATTCGTCCCCCTCCTGCTCCCAGGAAGCCGCCCTGGATTCGTTTATGCCTGGTCCTCGGATTTATCTAATCTGATCTTCATGAATGAAAGAATCCCTTCTTCTTGTTGCAGAAAACAGTACATTGCAATTTTTGCGTGGAATTTTTGTGTAAATCTAATTGATTTTCTTCCATCTCAGCTTCCCCGAAGCATAAACGTCACAAATAGAGAAGTCCCTACTGATCGTGGATTTTCACAGAACAATTTCCACTCCCTTAAGCTAAGATTTGCTTTTATTCACCGTTAGCTTTGTAATGCAGTGTTGTTCAATTCTCTTTTGCTGTTGTTCCCAGTTCTTACCTCTAGCTCTTGACTAGTACCCTTGTTCCCCTTGTCTATCCTGCCCCCAATTCCTGTCTCCAGTGCAGTATCTGGGCTCGTCCCCAGCCCCGTACGACAGCATTCTCCAGTTAACCAGTCTCAAACCAGCTAACCAGTCCTGAGTCTCAAATTAGCACTAGACCGTCTCTTCCTTCTGCTGATCATCCCTCGCCACATTACCCAACGTTCGTCACTTCTTTGCGGTTGCCAGATGACGCCCAAGACAGCACTGGAGCCTCACAAGCAAAGAAACGAGAGTTTCTTGCAAAAGCGATGAGACCACGCCGAGCTGAGATGAGTTCTAGCGATTTGAAAAGCGTGTCGAACTCCTTAGTACGATTGTGCTGAAAGTAATAGTGTGAGAATGCGAAACTGATAAAAATTAATGAATAGGTGCTGACTATGACGGAGAGGGATGGAGCGACCATATTAAATAATCCGTCTCTCTGTCATACAAGCGGAGTGCGAGATATCATTACAATGCCGCAAAAATAAGAAATCTGATAGGTTCCCTGTCCATGCTGCTTCGTCTACCGATCAGCGATGGACATCTTGCTGTAGCGAATGGCACTCTCGGAAGCAGATGGCTACTTGAATGACTCTCGGAGACGCGGCAAGCAATAACTAGAGAATGAGACCAGGATCGGACGTCGTGACGCAGCTCACTTGACGCGTGGAGACATTTCGGTAATATCACTAACACGAGATACCCCAAATGACTGCCGGGCTAACTTGGTATTCTTGGTGATAAAGTGTGACTTATGTAACCATTGAATAATCTTGATAAATTTTCTAGGAATGAAAATTTGCAGGAGATAACTGGAAAAAAAGGTTCGCTCCTTTTGCTCGCCCTGCTCTCATAATTACGCAGCATCTCAGCAAGTGCAAATGCTGACTTTTTGCTCAATTTCAGTTCGACTTTGACCCCGCTTCCGTTTTCTAGATCTTCTTCACCTTTTCATTTTAACGCAGTCACTTCTAGAACTATTTCTGTAAGTGAATTTATGCATTTAAAGAAAAGGATTGATCTTTCTGTGCACAGACTTAAACCATCACGAGTGTGCAAGGGTCATCGGGAAGCAGAAAGGTTAAGCGACTCTTGGGTCTGCTTTGACCTTTTTCCTATGTTGCTGCATCCCATCTTGTTATTGGTTGCTAAAGAATACTTTGGAGAAACTGCACCTGCACTACAGCAAGGTTACTTCTGCACTATATTGCACAAACAACTGAAGCCCTTCACTGCAGTTTCTCACT